TACATTGGCTCCACGGTCAGCACAAGGGACAGGCTCTTCTGCTAGCTGCCTACAGGGAACTCGAGGGAAACAAAACTAATTCCTGATAATTTAAGGCAGAAGTTTCTCTGGAGATGTGCTGTGCGTTGAAATGGTAATTTAAATTCTTTTTCTTTGGCACAAAGTTCAGCTTTGGTTGAACAAAGCCGTTTTCCTCTGCCTTTCTGACTGCATTTTCAAATGAAAGAATCCAGAACATTGATGCGATCCCAGAAGAAAATCCAGCCTTGACCAAAAAGCAGTTTTTCTGTGTACTATGTTTGAACAAGAATACAGGTATCAGCTCACCTTCTTGGTGGAGCTTGTCAGAATGCCCTAAAACATGAGCTGCACAGTCTGCAGAGAGGGCTGCCTACACTCACCTGTAGCCCAGGATGGTGCAACCAGTGCAGCTCCAGTACAGCTGGGAGTCCTGGAAACTGGACAGAAACTGCAAAGCAAAGAATGGTGGTCACACACTTACCAGGCAGAAGACCCCAGGGAGATGGGACTAGATGATGCCTGGGATTTTGCAGGGAGCTGGAGCTAGCTGGAGCATCTTCTTTTGTCTCTGCAGGCAGCAGGACCACCTAGGTCCAGGTCATTTGTAAACCTTTTCCCACCCTGGCTGAGGGCACGAGGCAGCACATCCCTTCTTTATGCCTTCCTATCACCTCTCTTTTGCAAGGAACAGGCCTGAGCACCCATTTCTCACTCTGTAAATGTCTCTTAGGACCCTGATGGGGCCTCTCAAAGTGCAGCTCAGCCCTGCAGTGTACCCTGCTGATTTAAGAAATCCATGTTTTCCTCCTGCCCTTGACACCCAGATTCTGCTAAATGAGGACAACTGAGCTGGGCCCTGGGGAACTGCCACAGTCTTTCCCAAGTCTTTTCCTGGCAAGCCCAGCTCAACTCACCAGCTTCTCAAGAGCAGGTGTCAGCACCCTGTAGTAGTCCGAGTTCTCCATCTGTAAGCTGCTGTTGAATGTGATTCCTTGCAGTTCCACTGTGTGCTCAAAGCTGGTCTCTCCCGTGGGATGACAGGCTGCCAGAGAGGGAAGGTGGCTGTCAGAGGCACAAAGGACACACAGAGGTTTGGGGCCATGGCTGGACCCTGCTTTCCTCGCAGTCCGCTTTGCAACATGGGTCTCATCACGTAGTTTAGACCCCTCTGTTTTGAGCAGCTTGACTGTCCCTGACCATCCCAGGCTGCCTTGGGGGTGTCCCATGGCCATGCTGGGCTGCACCGCACACATGCAATAGGAGAAATTTGCAATGAACTAATTTGAACTTGAAAATGTTGGATTTTTGTCAAGCCTGAGACAAAAGTTCATGAACAGATGGGTGCAACCTGGCAGTGCAATCCCAGATTGGCCCCATCCTGGCATTAACAGGCTGGGGAAAGGTGTGCTGGGTACCAAAGCCAGTTTAGAAAGTGGTATTGTACAGTAGAGCTGTGCTGGTGGGATCTGTCAGTCATGTCAGGCTGGGGTCCACACCAGGGTGCTAGCCTGAGGTAGCATCTGGCCATGGGGCATCCCCTCTGATGGAGGGAGGTGGAGAGGCAAGGAGATGGTGGTCATGTTCTGGAGTGGGACAGTAAAACAGGTAATGGTCAGTGGCTGCAAGAAGTTGTGATAGGAGATGGCTGGGCAGCGAGGTACAGAGACAGGAGATTTGGGAGTTGCACGGAGAGATTAGCATGTGTGTCATGTGACACTGAAGATAAAGTGCTTTAATGTCAGATATTCAGAACATGAGTTGACTACAGCCCTTGCAGTTTGTGTGTGTATGTGGAGCGAGTTGGCCACATTTTGTCCTCAGCAGAAGGCTTTTGAGGATTTTTGCTATGAGGACTGTGAGCTGTGCAGACCATTTCTTTTTTGGAGCAGATAAACTGAAGGAATGTACCTGGCTGCACACTCACCCAGCAGGATCCCCAGGTAGAGGGCTGTCACGCTGCCCACCACAGCAGCAGCAACCGTTACTTTCCAGCAGCTGGCCCTCAGTCCCCTTCTCTGGGTGCCTAGCACTGGCTTTATCTGGTCCATGCTTTCTGAGCAGCTCTACAGATGGCCTCTGTAATTAAAAAGAAGAGGAGGAAAAGGACAAGACTGGGATGAAATGTGATGTGCCAGCTACGCTTAGCCCAGGAGCTCCAACCAGTGCATTAGCATAAGAAGTAAAAGGATGGACACACACTGCATCCCCTGAATGTGCCTCATGCTGCTGTCAGGAGTTTTTACTAATACATCCAGGTTGTAGGACCTGAACACATCAACCATGGTGTCCCCTCCTGCCTGGTCCGCCTCCCCTTTCTTCCTAGGAGGCCACCACTGAGCATGGCCTTATCCATTGTGAGTATGAACCAGCCTGATGCCTCCATCTTTGCGCTCTGCACAGGTGCTTTTGGTGACACAAGCTCTGGGTGAGCACTGAACCAGTGTCCCAGCATCACAGGCCCTGCCTCGGGGTCCAACCAGGCCAGCACACGGTAGCTGCTCTTCAGCAGGCAGTCCCCCAGCCTTGATTTAGCAGCAAGGTTTCAAAATCCTACTGCCTATGATGCCAGGGTGAGCTGGTACACCAGCTCATAGCAAGGGGTGAGTATGGACTGAGCTTGGCATCTTGGATAGCTCTTCCTGCCTCAGACATCACCCCGAGTATCCTAAACCCTCAGACATCACCCCTAGATCCTAAACCAACCAGTGTCACTAGCAGCTTTGTTGCTGCTCAAGGAGTCATGGAGATGCAGTAGCAGGTGGAACCGTTAAGTTGGAAAGTACGACATTTATCTCAGAGTAATCTTATAAGCCTGCAAATAACAAGACTAGACTGGAGTCACATGCTTAAATATGAAACTCTGCAGTCTGAATAGAGTCTGAATGGATCTAGCTAAGGAGAGGGGCCTGCCTGGGGCTCTGGCTAGTAAATGTACCAAAGCCGATTGGTATTGAAAGCCTCAAGAATATGGTACTCCAAATGTGATCTCAAAAGTGACAAAAATAGGGCACTTATCTTGTTTTTCTGTCTGCACTCTTGCTAGGTAGGAATGAAACAGCCTGGGATATCCTGCTTTACGGACAGTCATTTGATCAGCCGTACTTCAGCCATGTTAGTTTTTGCATGAAGCCTAAGGAGACGAGAAGGGGCACTGATTTCATCTGGCCCTAAAATGTATTAAATTACTGAATTTATAGTCCTCCCTCACAGGTAGGAAGAAGCCACATAACTCTTCCCTTCAGACTGGCACACAAAAGTCTATCTAAGACAATTTGGTTGGTCAGAGTTTAAATACATGGAAGTCCAGCCTTCTTGGCCAGAGGTCCAAATTTCCTCGGCTTCAGAGTGAGTTTTTTGAAGACTCAACCTCTAGCTGCTGGGAAATTTCAGATTTACAGGTCACAGCAGGAGAATCTTGGCAAGGCAAATTCATCTCTCAAACTTGCTCTGCCTAGATATCGACAGCTTCAAGAATATAAAACCCACTCAGGTTTTCTTTCCTCAGCCTCAATGTCTGTGCTGCCAAGGAACATCTCACCTGGCCAATTCTGCACCGGCTACTTCCTACCCGTTCAGAAGATGCTGTGAGTGGTTGTGCTGCAGCAGCAGCTACCTACTGATGCTGTAAAACAGGCTGTGACTTCAGCAAAGAGGGAACCTGCAGTAACTGCCTTTTCTAATGCATTAGCAATGAAAGAGAAAAAGGGCAGAAAGGGACCCAGGACACAGGGAGCAGCAGCACTGTTTCAGAAGAGCTTTTCAGTGTTTTCCAAGAGGCGTCAGCAGCTCTTTAAACTGAAGCTTCTAGATAACAGATTTTAAAAGGTCACTTCTTTGTGAGGCAACAGAGAGAAAGAGGAGAGGAAGGGAGAATCTGTCCAAGATGCCTCCTTTTTTCTAACAGACCTCCAAATATTCCTTTTCAGCTGTAACCGAGCCTGGCAGAGATAGGCACTTCAGGCCCCTGTGTTTTGCTAACAATATCACCGTTTGACAATTCAGCTCTGGCTAAGAGGAGATAGGCAGGAAACGTTTTTTCCAGTGGTCCCTGTGACCTAAATACATACAGATGAGCAATGCCTCCTTCACTCTTTCAATAGTTTTGGAGTTACAGGCTCTCTTGCAGTATGCTGAATGTGGAAGCTCAAAAATCTAGTCCCGATATGCCGACAAGTGCAACAGTCGTCTTTCAACCAACAGACTTCAAAGGTAGGACAATTGCATCTGACAAAAAAATTATCACAGGCAAAATTGTCTGGTTGTTTTGACAATAGAAGTGAGATTGAACTAATCTTGGCTGCACATAAAAAGTCATACTACAATAAAAGATACTGTGGACCCCAGAAAGAAGTTCATATTATTGATTGCACTGGCATTTTAACTGAAAAAAATATGTAAAGACAGAGAAGTCTTCTACTTCCCAAAACAATCAAAACTTTTGTTTGCTCTCCCTTTTAGCATAAGGGAAGTTTATTTTCTTTTGGTGTGAGTGGTGCAAGTTAAAAAAGAATTAAAAATTTAAAAAGACATGTAAATGGAAAGCATACCTTGCAAGAGCAAAATAGAGATTGGATTTTTTTTTTAGTGACAGAAGATAAGGACCATCTATAAATACATAATGGAAATGAGTAGCAAGGAGCTATAGATGTTGAAAAACATCATTGCATAAAATGATGAGTGAAAAGTAAATTTTTTTTGGTGCAGACAGAAATTAGGAGAGTATGAACAGTCATACACTCATGCTCCTCCTCAACAGAGGAGCATGAGTTTCCAGTGGGAATGTTGAGAAAATTATAAATTGTGAGTGGTTATAAAATATGATGCCCCTGATAGCAGAGGGGAAACTCAGTGACCTAAGAGGGTCCTTACAGTCCTGTCTTAGTGGGGTTTCTTCTCACTTCTCATTTTAGCAGAGAAGGCATGTAAGGTGTGCTATAGATAAAGTCAACAAGAACTGCCCTGTGAAAATAACCATATCTGGCTGTCCCTAAGGATGTGCTGAGATTCCTGGGAGAAGACCACCACCTCTGCTCTTCTGCTTCTTGGCCACTCAGGGTTTGTTTTCTCCATGGGAGTCTGGATTTTGCTCCAGGGCAGCCTTGAGTCATTCCTTGGAAGATATGTTTTATTTCTCAACTGGTTCAGATAGGGAAATTTCAAAACATGAAGTGGAATCATACAAGTATCCGTTTATCCATGGTATTTCTTCTGATAAGCCAAACTGTCACTAACACCCACTCTCCTCATCCAGGAGGACAAGAATGTGTGCATGTGAACATGTGTGTGCACTCGTGCAGTGGGTTGGGGCACGTCATGTACAGGAGCAATGAGGGGACAAGGCAGGGCCACAGGAGGGAGATCCTGGGTGTCTGTCCATGCATCTGGCACAGATCGCAGACTCCCCATGGCAGGGGCCTCTGCTTCAGTCTGGTGAGTCTCATGGCATGCACACCTGTAAGACTGGCCCAGAGCACACAACTGTTCAGCACAAATCATGGTGGTTCCAAGAAACTGGCTTCTTGCAAAATGTGACAGCCTCTGAGGCTGAAGTGTGGTGGTGACCTCCCAGCACTGTGCTGACAGCTACCCAGCAAAAGGACTTGTTTTTCCTTCATTTACCTCCACAGTCCCTGGCCTCTTGTCTTCCACTACTCAGTATTTATCTTCTTTTGCCTCTGCTGTGTCTTTCCCTTATGTTTCCCCTCCTGAAGCCTTTCCTTCCACCTTCCCGGCCCTCTCCAGCTCTTCAAGACTTAGTCTCTCCCTCTTCAGCACAGGAATGCTCACTCCCCTATCTCACACTGCTTTGACCCAGGCTCCCTACTGCTCTTCTTCAGCTTCTCCTGTTCCCAGCCAGCCCCTGTCAGCAGCCCTCCGACACAAGCCAAGCCTCACCTCTGATCTGTTGATCAGAGGAAAGAAACAGGGAAAGAAACACAGGAAAGAAACAGTGGTTACTGTGTCTTCAAAAGTCAACTTCATTTACAGATAAAAAATGTGAGAAAACCCTAATGTCTCCAGACAGCAGAGTCCAGGCCGCTCTGGAGTCTTTGTGCTGCATTTCTATATTCTATCATGTTTGGATGGTTTTCTCCGACACCATCATTATAAAGGGCAGCTGATATGCTGCAGCCATTTGAATAACCAAGTGTTAATAAAACATTTTCTTTGTCCCACATTAGGTTGGTACCTGTACCATTACAGGGTAGTCTGGCTCTCAGCACAGCAATACAGAGCCTTCAGACACAAGGGTTGCAAAACTGTCTCATGGTCTAAGGTCATGCCTGTAAGTCTTCATCCAAACAGAGGCTTTGCGAAACGATGACATTGGTATGAAAAATATGTGACTTGCTTGAGGGAGACAACAAGATCAGCA